GTGGGGACACGGCTTTTGAGCCAGCGTTGGAGAGGTGTGCAGCAATCCTAGCTGGAGTACAGCTGATGCCGAGGCCATGAGACCGAGCATCCTTTGAAATCGCTTGACGGGGCGCGCGCGCCCGCTCTGAACGATGTTGCAAGGCGCCGGATAGTGAGCGCGCGCTCTGATGAGAGGCGCGCCGTCATCTGCACTGAGTCTAGCACTATTCCCAGAAAAGAAATATTCTGGCTGGGGGATAGCATGCTCTTTGCAAAATTGATTCTTAGACCCAGGCATTCTAGATGGCTGATAATCCAAGACCTGTGTGTCATTAACTGACTCTCTGATTGTGCTAGGACTAGCCAATCGTCGAGGTAATTCAGTATTCGCACTCCCCGGGGGGAAAGTGCTGCATCCATACATTTCGTGAATGTACGGGGGGCCAGTGATAGGCCCAAGGGTAGCACTGTGTACTGGTATGACTGTCCCTCGAAAGCGAATCTCAGAAAAGGCCTGTGATGAGGCGCTATCGGAATGTGAAAGTAAGCGTCTTTCAGATCCACTGATAGAAACCAATCCCCCGGGCGAACTTGGGCGAGGATATGTTTGGTTGTTAACATTCTGAACGAGCGAATCATTAAAGCTTTGTTCAGATGTCTGAGATCTAGAATGGGGCGGAGACCACCATCCTTCTTCGGGACGAGAAAATAGCGGCTGTAAAAACCTGCCTCGCTCATAGAGGGAGGAACTGTTCCTATAGCGCCCTTCTCTATCAGTTTGAGCATCTCGGTGCGTAGAACATGTGAAACATCTTTTCTCACTTTCGTCTCGACCACCGCTGAGAAGCGGGGTGGTCTGCGAGCGAATTGAAGCGAGTAACCGTGTTTTATTATGTTCAAAACCCATTTCGGCATGTCGGGGATATTTTCCCAAGCTTTCGTTCGCACAGATATGGGCTGAATGCTGGCTGGGGGCGTGTCGCAGTGACGTATGGCTCCCGCCGGCGAATCGCCTTGTGCTAATACTGAGCTTACAGCTCTCAGAGGCGCGGGCGCGCGCTGAGCAGCTTTGTTGAATGCCGAGTGCAGGGGTGCGTGTGAGATTACAGGCACGCTCGCCACATCCGTAATGCTCACAGCGTGAGGTTGAGAAATGTTTAAGACTGTATGGACAGTGCTTATGGGTGGGGGTGCATAGACTGTGGTAGGCACGCGCGCCACTTTCATAAAACTTCCCGCTCGTGGCGGGAGGTTTTTGGCCATATAAACAGGGTTTGTGAGTAGGGGTGCGTGCATGACAGCGGGCACACGCGCTACCCTGATAGAATTTCCCGCTTTTACTGGGGAAGTGTTTATAACTGTGGGAACAGTGCTTATGTGTAGTGGTGCATACATGACAGTGGGCACACAATCTACATTTATGGGGCGTCCAGCCTGAGCTGGGGAAGCATTTGGCACTGCTTTGACAGTTTTGATATGTGGGAATGTGAACTTTAGTGTGGACACGTGACCCCTTAATGACACAGGCAGAAAATGGCTCTTTATGTGATTTCTGTGTGTCGCCGTTAAAACGGCGTTTGTTTGCAGGTGAGCGAGCTGTGCGGCTGGCCCATTGGCTGCTGTACAGACATTGCCAGCCGCCTGTAAGGGGACTGGGTAATGCTTTAAACGTTTTGGAGAGAGTGGTCCGGCTTTTGCGAGACATGCGCACTCTCTTTTCCTCCCTGTAGCTAGGAAGACTTACGAGGCTCCGGGTTCAGCACAATCTTGGGCCGAGGTCCCCGTCGCTTGGGCGGTTGCCTCCTGTTGGCGGAGCGAAGTCAGTTTCAGGTCTGGGCTGAGAGACGGGAGGTGCCGTCTTGACTCGCTGCTGCTGAGGCGGCTTTTGGCGGCTCTGCGATGGGCTGGAGCGCTTGGGCAGGAATAGCCTGCGAATCCTTCCGGGCTTCGGTGAAGCGTTCAGCGAACTCTTTCACCGCTGGTCCGAACAGGCCGCTTTGGGAGATAGGCACGTCGAGGAACGACGCCTTATCTGCATCCTTCATCTCTGTTAGCGTCAGCCACAGATGGCGCTCAAGGACAGTCAGGTTAGCCATGGCACGGCCGATGGATTGGGCGGTGGCTTTTGTGGCTCGCAGTGCTATGTCGGTGGCGCTGCGCAGGTCCTTGAACGTCTCAGGATCAGGTCCAGACTCGTCCATGGTGCGGAGAAGTTTGGCTTGAAAAACTTGGAGGACAGCCATGGAGTGAAGCGCTGACGCAGCTTGGCCAGCGGCGGCGTATGCGCGACCGGCGAGAGCTGAGGTAGATCGGCAAGGCTTCGAGGGATGAGAAGCTTTGGCTTTCCATCCAGTCGTCGGATGCAGCATCAAAGGAAAGGCTGTCATCCTTTTCGTCGTCATCCCCTGACACGCCAAACGAGACGAGACCCATCGCTCTGCTGGAGGGGTGCTGGTCCGCCTGTGTGAACTGGACTGGCGGCGGGGGAGTCCTCGGGTGGTGGTGAAGCACGCGGGGATTGGCCCGGCGTGACGTCACCACAAACCGCGTGCTCTGGCGGCCTCTGTGAGCGGCGCTTCTTCTTGCGCGGCTCAACTAGAGGGGATGGTAGCACGGTGGTGGTGGGCTCTTTCGCGGCGAAAGCGGCGAAGCGAGCACGCAGCTCGGTGAGGCCCAGGGCGTCACACTCGGGGCATCCGCCTCGAGTAAGGGCAGCCTCTGCGTGGTCCGGACCCAGGCAGCGAGTGCAGATAATGTGACGATCCCCGTCCGGAAGAAGGCCTCGACACGAGGCGTAGGAAGGCATTTGAAACAAGGCCTTGAATTTGCTCTTTTAGAAAAAGTGTCGCAGGGGCGAACACTTGATAGCTTGCAAAGGATATAGAGGTGATGCGCGCCGGATGGCTTAGCAGAAGGCGATCGAAGGCGGCTGAAGGCGCAGGCGTCCTCGTAGCAGTCCTGCTGTAGTCTTGTCGACGGCGGCGGCGAAAAGACTCCAAAAATCTGGAGGATCCAGCGAAGAGAATGGTCTTTGCTGAAGGAGATTAAATCTAAAGAACTCAGACGACGGGGCGCCCAATATATAGCCCTTGGCCACACCCATCTTGGCGGGCTCTGACGCACGCGGGCGCGAAGCACGCTCATTGGAAGCGGGTTCAGAGTCGCCCCGTCATCGGTTCGTGCATTTGCCGCAGCACAGCCAATGACCGAGCTGCCTCGCTCAATGCTGTATGCTGTGCAGCTGCAATGCGTTTTACATAAAGACTTCAATATTTCTCGAGAAAAGGAGTTTTCCCATAGCGTAAGCTACTTACGCTATAGGAGGAACCTCTCGAAAGGGAAAACGTTTTCTCGGTTAAAAACACGAGATGCAGGTCTGGACTTTCAATGGAGGGACAGAAACCTCTCAGGTTTCATTACAAATATCGTAATTTGTGTTTCAAAAATTAAACAAAGTCTTATGTGTTTGGAATGACATGAGGTTAATGAGATAATGACAGAATTTGTATTTTTGGGTGAACTATCCCTTTAACCCTTTGATGCGCAAGCTATGGATACCCCCTCTAATGCACAACATGGGTCTAAAAAGACCCGTATTCATTTCCTATGTTATTTCATGCATGGCTCGGCATTTTTTTGTTTCACCTTTTGAAATCACTTTATTTGAGCATTTTCTATTTCATGATCTATAAATTTCATGATTTATGAATATTCAAAATATCTTGTTTTCAATTATCACAAATTCATATTTTAATATTTCCTAGGTTTTGTGTAAATACATCAAGTTTACACACATGGGTCTAAAATGACCCATCTATGCAAACGTGATAAAACAAAAGAATAAAGAAAACTTTTTGTTAAAATAACCATTGTCACAGTTGTTTAGATCAACACATTTACTGTAACACTTAAAATATGTTTATTGGCCACTTTGTCACGCATAACACACATATAACCGATAACACTGAAATTGAACTGTAGTGTAGTGCAACTGTAGGGGGGATCTCCCCGCCACCAATGTGCAGCATCCACCCGGATGATGCGACATCAGCCATAGTGCACCAGAACGCCACCACACGACGGCTTATGTGACCGATAGCATTGATTTATGACCACAAATAAAAATTAATATGGAGGTACTGCCCAGGTAAGGTTTCTGCCGGACAGCACCAATATAATACTTGTATATATAACTTTCTATCGCAACTTTTATTTTGTTGACCTAGCTAACATTAGATAAAATAAAATATGTCGACCGCAAGCTAGCTAATAGTTTTGGACATGTTTCTCTTTTGCACTAGTAATGGATTTCAAGGTCAAGGTAACCTTAGCCTAAACGTTCAAATTTTAGGCTATATCTAGATGTCTTTCACAAAATATCAAATATTTTCTGTGACAAAAAATGTATTAAATAAAACTTACATGCATGAAATATACAAAAGCAGCCGTGTTGAATTTTGAAATGTGTGGCAGGTGAATAGTTTTCTGCAGTAAATATATTTATACTATTTATAAATATCAAAGGTTCCTATATGGGTCATTTTTGACCCATGTGTGTAAAATTGATGTAGAAATACAAAAACCGTGTTTGTTTATAAAGTAAGAAAGGGAAAATAAAAATAATGATTTGTGGAAATCAAAAACAAGATATTTAATGAATACCTGGATTAATAAATGATAAAATATATTTATTTCAAATATTCAGCAAAGAAACATGAATACGGGTCTTTTTAGACCCATGTTGCGCATTAGAAGGGTAGTGAAACAAAAACGATTTTTATTCGAAAAGTAAGAAAGGAAAAATTTAAATAAGGATTTGTAATGATCTAAAACAAGTTAATTGAGGAATACCTGGAATACTGAATGATGAAATTAATTTCTTGCAAAGATATAGAAAATGAAAACTCAGTCGGGTCTATTTAGACCCATGTTGTGCATCAAAGGGTTAATCAGTGTGGTCCTGATTTCCTCAAGGCCCCAATCAACCACATCAGCAAAATGCAACTCTGGCTCATTCACCTTGGTGGTTTTGACTTTGTTACCAGTGCTGCAGGACCAACCAGTCAGGTCTGGAAGAACTTTACACTCCTCGCCGTCCATACATGGGTGCATTTGGCACCACCACTTCTGCAGCACGATGGAAGCTGTAAGAGAAATGGGGAAAATTATAGGTTGAACTACTTATATTGTTACTACTGATATTATTATTTTCAGAGTACTGTATAGATCCCTGAACATCCATTTTCTCTCATTTTTATCAACAATGACATTTGTAGGCAATGACACTGCCTTAAAATTTTAAGTACAATCAACTTGGATGTTTAATTCATTTCAACTTACAACTGACTTTTAAAAAAAATTGTTGAATCTTGTATATGGCTTAACTTATTTTGATGAGTTAATCCAAAGTAAAAACATGTTGACATAACTATTTTATTGTTCATCAGCTAGGGGGAAATTCTTCAGAGAGTGATTCCAGCTATTTAATTCTTTAGTTGTGTTGCGGACTTTTCTATTCTCATAGAATTTAAATGATTATTAATACTCTATCGTTATTTATCATCCTTGTATAGGCTATGGCCCGTAATAATGGAAAATTTCAGGTAGGATTGTCCTGCAATGTGAAAATATAACAACTGACAATTTCTAATACAGACCTCATCCACTTTCCAACTGAGAAATACAGAGGAAAATATACGAAAGATCAAGAAATAACTAGAATTTGCTTTCGATCAGACGCCTGCTGCTGAAGCCCTGGTTGGATAAACCGTTATTAACACCAGAAGATGAACAGAGTGAAACAGCTTCCTTTTTGCTATACCACCTTTATGTGTCATAGCGCAGGAAGTCATGCTCCTTTATTCTCTCTGAATAGTGCTACATTGGAAACAGAATCTCCAGCACCACTACACAATGAACCCATGATGTCTTCTCGAATATACATGATTGGCACCATGTGAATAATAACTGTTTCGACTACTTGTCCGCTATTGGTCGACCGAATAAGTGGTCTCGCTCAAAATGCATGCCATCGCTTGAGCCAGTGTTACAGTGACAGCGTTTTCAGAGAAAATCAATTCACAAATGACTTCACTTCACACAGTTTCCCAAACAGGGGTTTGCAAAGGAACTAAGTAATTAAATAAAAAAAATGTAAAATACACATTAATAACCTTAAAATAAAAAACGATAAAAAATAAAAAAGAGTAAACATTTTATGTTTATCTGTATACGTGACCATTAACCAACATCAGAGAACCATTACAGTTTTTTTCAACTGCTTACACTTCAAAACTTTGACTCTTTTTTTTTCATAAATTTACACACAAATCCAAGAATTTCACACACAAAATGTTAAATGCCTCACATCTCTTGCAAAATGAAGCACTGCATTCCAAATATCACAAACATCTCAAAAGCAAACATTTGTCTTGCGTTGCAAACACCTTTGCCATAATGTTATATTTTTGGATATATCATACACACAGTTATTCAAAACCTAAAGCTATTCTTTATTTTTCGTACATTTCTGTAAAAGATTGAAAGTAATTGGCAGAGAGATGTTGAAAAAATTGACGGTAAACACAAAAGCAAGATTGCAACCAAACTATTTATTTTTTTACTGTAAGCATTTCTGGTTGTGAATACAGTATTACACAGTCCGAAAAAACTATAACTTGACCTTTGGCCTATTAATAGGCCTATTCTAAAGCCATGATTGGTTGGTTTTAAGTAAAGCAAAGAGTGTTTGTGAGGAGTTAGTGTGACGCACTGATGAATTAGTGTGGCATTTTGATAGGTTGTGTTTGAAAAAGGAAATCAAGATACTTCCTGTACGATTTTTGTGTGTTACATAGAGAATTGTGTGTTGGGGTTTGCAAAAAGTGTTTTATGAAAACTAAGTCGAAGGCCGAAAATAAGTGTATGGTTTAGCAGATGTGGTTCAGGTGTTTGAGTGTCAGGTTTCAGAAATTGTGTGACAAGTAAAGATTTTGTGTGTAAGCAGTTGAAAAAAACTGTAAACAATCTGTATTGTATAAAGTGCAAGAGAAATAGAGGTGACTTGATTTGTATGTATATTCAGTCTATATTTACAAAATGAACAGACATGCAAGGGTCAAAAATGTATTTGTTTCTCAAAACATTGAGTTTAGATTCCTAAGTGATCAAATTAGGTATATTTACATGATAAACAGAAATGCAAGAGGGTAAAAATAATTTATTCCTTCCTGAAAACATTGAGTTTTGATTTCTAAGTGATCAAATTATGTATAAGTGTTTTCATACATTATCACTGGGTGTAGGTCATCAATAAATGAGTGTGCCATTTAAATGAAGTGTTTCCTGAATGAAACACAAGAGCTGTTAGTTTAGAATGATGTGTCTACTGTAGAGAACTGTGTTTAGCATTTTACAAAAGGTTTGTTTTACAATTGCAAACTGAGTGTAAAGCTTATAATGTGCTTGTAATTTTGCAGACTTGGTCTGAAGATTCTGTATATGAGTGAATGGTGAAACTGAGTGGACCTCAAGTACCACTTTGAGTGTTTACAGTTTTTTCCAACTGCTTACACACTAAATCTTTTCATGTCACACGATTTTTGAAACCTCTCACTCAAAGGGCAAAACTACACACCAAATCTCCAAAACCAAAAGCTATTTCTCAGCCTTTCACTCAGTTTTCAATTGCATAAAACACTTTTTTCAAAACACTACACACAATTCTCTACCTAAAACACAAAAATCTAACAGGAAGTGACTTGCTTTCCTTTCCCAAACACAACCAATCAAAATGCTACACTTATTCACCAGGTCACACACACACTCTTCACATGTGCAAACACTAGTTGCTTAACTGATCACTTACCAATCACTGCTTTACTGTAGTATAGGCCTATAAATAGGTCAAAGGATGCCAACAATGGACAGAGAGCAAGAGGAGGAAGAAGAAGAAGAAGAAGAAGAAGAAGAAGAAGAGGAAGAAGAAGAAGAGGAAGAAGAGGACGAGGACGAGGGCAAAGGCAAAGAAGAGAATGAAGGAGAGCCATCTCTGATGAGACTAGGGCAACACTTGTTGATCATGTGATCATCCACGGTTTGACCATGAGAGAGTGAGACTGAGAGTCCAGCCCAACTTGAGTTGATTTACAGTGGCGTCCATAATTCGAACCTTCAGAAATAAACACAGGTATGCAACTATCTAATGACTATTTTAGCATTACAGTAATGTACTGTAAAGTACATATGACTGCATAGTATAGCATAAACATTTGTAACTCTAAGCCATCATTCACTGCACTGAATGAATGAGGTTGGTTATCATGCTGTACTACCTTTTTTTGTAAGTTGTTTACAGTTCCTATGCTGAACACATACTGTGTTGGAATTCTGTTCAGAGTGGAAAGGCAAAGACGCTTGTTTACAGATGTACAGAGACTGCAATTATAAATATGGTTTTGGCCAACAATGCAGATTTGAGAGATAAGAGCATATCTTGAATAATGACACCATATTTACTGTAACAACATCGATGCAGTAAGCCTGTCGACCATACAACGCATCCTCCAAGGGCACCAAGTGGCGATGAAACGACTTTACAAGGTGCCATTTGAGAGAAACTCTGACAGAGTCAAGAATCTGCGACATGACTTTGTAGAGGTGTATGCAACACTACTTCCAGTACTCCAGACATAGCATATTTACTCATCTATAGCCTTTTGTCTGTTACAGAGAGTATTGGAGATGGATGCCCATGTAATACCCCACACACACAATTGTGTTCTTTACTGTATTCTAAAGAATATACTTTTGGTTTACATATGTTTATGGTTTTGTAGTATGCTACTGTATACAACAGTAATGTTTGGCCTAATAAATATTTTCTGTTTCTACATGGCATTGGTGATTACAGTGTACTTGTTACCCCTCTCAGAAGATTACTTTCACTGTAGAACATTGTATTGAAATGTAGATATAAGCCTATGAATGACCAAAGAGCTTTAGATTTAGAACAACCGTGTTTACATGGTGTATCCAAAAATGTACTATTATGAAAGAAGTGTTTACCATTTGATGCAAATGCTTCATTCTGACATCTGTTTATGGCATTTTGAATGCAGTGTTACATTTTGAAGGAGATGTGAGGCATTTTGGCATTTTGTGTGTGCAGTTTTGGGAATTGTGTGTAGAGTTTTGAAAAAAGGGGACATAGTTTTGAAAACGTGTGTAAGCAGTTGGTAAAAACTGTAAGCAATTAAAAAAAAACTGTAAGCTGTAACTTTTAGCTTTGAAAGAATTACACACCTTAAATTTAGTATTAATATTTGTATCAAACCCAAATAAAAAAATCTTACCAACACAATACATGTGAAAACACCCTTGCTACTATGCTTTTCAAGTCCCCTGAGCATTACAAGCTCTCCTGTGTCACTTCCAAACAAGCCCAGTTTACTCCAAATCCAGTTCTGAGAAGCCAATCAATAGCCTGTTCAAATTAGGCTCATTGAGATGAGTGCAACCAAAAGAAAGCCGCTCAGTAGCCCATTGTCCCCAACAATAGGAGGAGAGAGGATATACACAGCGAAAATGAGCTTTAAAAGGAATTATGCAGAAGAACACGCGCAAATCCTCTCAAGCATCATGAGTGAACGCCTTACATCGAGTGAAGACATGAAAGCAGGGGTTTGTTGTGTGTGTGTGCGTGTGTGTGTGTGTGTGTGTGTGTGTGTGTGTGTGTGTGTGTGTGTGTGTGTGTGTGTGTGTGTGTGTGTGTGTGTGTGTGTGTGTGTGTGTGTGTGTGTGTGTGTGTGTGTGTGTGTGTGTGTGTGTGTGTGTGTGTGTGTGTGTGTGTGTGTGTGTGTGTGTGTGTGTGTGTGTGTGTGTGTGTGTGTGTGTGTGTGTGTGTTGATTTGGTAGGAAGCCTATAGTCAAATGATGCTGTTCGTAAACTAACAAAATTAGCAGTTGCAAAGGCAGTGAATTACAGTAACTACTGTACTGTGTATGTGTGTGTGCCCACATTATAATGTCTGATTGCAGTGGTTCAGAGAATCGGAGGGAGCATAATTAGCATTAATGTGGCCATTATTAGGTATAATGCCAACCTTATGAAAGGATGTTTTCATTACCGTCGAGAGCTCTCCAT